AGTCGAGACGACTCCTAGCTGCAAAGTCGACTAGCTCAGTGACTAGGGCAAACGCAGCAGTAGACTTGAAGTCAGGGTCAGTGACGACAGTAGCGAGGAGACGAGTGATAGTAGGACTAGCAGCACGAGCAAGGTCGGACTCAGTGTCAGGAACATGCGGAAGAGAGGACGCAGGAGGCTCAGGTAGGACAACACGCTGGGAATAGAGGAAGGACGAAGTGCCATACCGTGAGTGCCTGGGACAGCAGGAGGACGAGGACGGGCAACACGACGAGCACAAACAGGTGTGGAAGCACGAGTCTCAGGCTCACGACGCTCAGTCAGGGACTCAGTCACCTCAGTGTGAGGAGCAGGCGCAGGCAGCGGGGAGCCAGGCAGTAGCTGTGGCTGAGACTGGTCTGTCGGTGGACACAGGAGGGGGAGAGGGAGGCCAGTGGAAAATGGGAGACTAAGAACCCGGCAAAGGACCGAGTCAGGCGGCGGCAGGGACGACTGCGGCTGCGGGTAGAAAAACGGTCTGCGCAGGGCAGTACTAGTAGCTCCAGCTCCTCCAGCACCAGCAGCACCAGCATCTCCAGCACCAGCAGCTCCAGCAGCACCTCCAGCACCTCCAGCACCAGCAGCACCACTAGCTCCGGCAGCGCCAGGACCTCTAGCACCAGTAGTACCTCCAGCACCTCCAGTGCCACTAGCTCCGGTAGCACCTCCAGCACCACCAGCACCAGCAGCACCACCTGCTCCAACAGCTCCTATACCTCTAGTACGAGCACCTCCAGGACCAGCACCTCCAGCACCTCCAGTACCTCCAGCTCCAGCGCCTCCAGCACCAGCAGTACCTCCAGCACCTCCAGTGCCAGCAGCTCCAATAGCACCTCCAGCACCTCCAGCACCTCCAGCACCAGCAGTACCACCTGCTCTGGCAGCTCCGGCACCTCTAGCACCAGCAGTACCTCCAGTAACTCCACTGCCAGCAGCTCCAGTAACTCCACTACCAGCAGCTCCAGTAGCACCTCCAGCATGAACAGCACCACCAGCTCCGGCAGCTCCAGCACCTCCAGTACGAGCACCTCCAAGACCAGTAGCTCCAGCACCTCCAGTACCTCCAGCTCCAGCGACTCTAGCACCAGCAGCACCTCCAGCACCAGCTGTACCTCCAGGACTAGTAGGTTCATCACCTGCAGCACCAGTAGCACCTCTAGGACTAGTAGCTCCTGCACCTCCAGCACCAGCAGCACCTCAAGTACCTCCAGCACTAGCAACACCTCCAGTACCTCCAGCACTAGCAGTACCTCCAGGACTAGCAGCTCCATCACCAGCAGGACCGTACCCTCCACCACCAGGACTGCCTCGCCAAACGATCCATGCACGAATCGCCTGCGGCGAGAGCGTCTAAAGTAGGTCAGGCTGCGGTGGTTGTCCAGCTCCAGGACCTCAAGTAGGGTCACCCACAGCTCCACCGCCACTAGGATGCGCAGGACCCCCAGAGTCAGCACCCCCAGTTGCAGCACCCCAAGAACCAGCACCCCTAGTCGCAGCACCCCTAGTCGCAGCACCCCCAGAACCCTCACCCTCTGTCTCAGCACCCCTAGGCTCAGCACCAGCAGTCTCAGCTCCAGATTCCATAGCAGCAGTCTGCGGAGGCGGCGAAGACGGCCGAGGCGGAAAACCAGGTGGGGTCTCCAAACGTGGAGAGCTGCGAGTGGCCGCCATGTCATCAGCGGCAGGGTCACCCCCCTTACCTGGGCCAGAGGAGTCAGAAGATATCTCCAAAGGCTCAACCAAGGGGGGTGGGTCTACATGAGACACACCTGAGGGAGCAAGACCCTGTGGGGAGAGGGGGTCTACCGGGGGGGGGACTGGTACCAAGAAAAGAGGCGCTAGGGGGACCGGGTGGGACGCATGCGGGTGTAGCCTGTAGTAACAGACAGACTCGTCAAAAGTGGCGTCCTGGGAGGAGAAGACTCGACACTCTCGCGGGTGGTAAAACTGCCACGGCGGGGCGTCGGTGGGGAAGCCAAGGAAGACGCAGCGGAGAGTGCGAGAGGAGAGCTTGCTCGCTTTGGCATCGCGAACAAGGGAGAGCGCGCCCCATACCCGAAACACCGACACATCGCCAACCTTCCCCGTCCACCGGAGTGTGGACGAGGACTCTGGCTCAGAGGTTGAGCTGATGCGCAACGTATTGGACCGCAAACGGCCACAGAAAATGGGGAGCAGCCGCATGGATCATGGAGGTATGAGCAACCTCCATGATCAAGCCAATGCGACGCTCAGCAATCCCATTTTGCTGAGGAGAGGCCGGAAGCGTGAACAAGTGGACGATGCCCTCATCTCGACAAAACTCCGCAAGGAGGTCAGGAGAGAACTCACCGCCCCTGTCAGAGTGCAGACGCAAGACTGGGAAGTCCTGACTGAACCGCTCGCGCAGCTGGCAAGGAGTAGCACGGATCCAGGAGATCAAAACACCACTGACGTCCGCCTTGCGCCGCAAGGGGAAGACAGTGGTGTAACATGTGTAGTCGTCAAAAACCAGCAGGAAGTAGCGCTCCTGGTCCGTTCCACTGACGGGGGCTGGGCCCCAAACGTCAATGTGGAGAGTCTGCAGAGGAGCAGTGGTCAGAGGAAAATCGGAGGAGTGAGGAGCGGCGCGCTGCCGCCCCTCGACGCAGGGAAGGCACGGCGGGGCAGGCGAGCGCGAGAGGGGGGGCAGGGACCTGGGAAGGCCAGAGACAAGGAGACGGGAGTGCATACCGCGGAGACGCGGTAGGGAGGGGTGACCGAGGCGGTGGTGCCAGAGGAGAGTCTGGTGTGAGAGTACCCGACACGAGCAAGAAGCTGCAAGCTGACCAGACGCACACACCTGACTCGACGCAGCCACCTGACCTGCCTCAGCCACCTGTGCAGCCGCAGTGGTCAGTGTGTACAGACTAGACCCAGGCCGTCGAGTGAACGTAGACAGGTGACGGCCAGTCCGGGAGCACGTACAGATCGCCACACGCTGCCCTCCAGGAATAAAGGTGTCAACCCAGACATCCTGAATGGCAGCGTTGCTCACCAAGTTCATCGAGAACGTAGGGAGGTGGAGACCTGACAAAGAACCGGAGGGGACTGCTGGACACGGGAGGACAGTGGAGGCTCGTGCGACTACCAGGCCCCCAATGGGATCAGCCAGTGATACCGGTACCGGTGCAGCAAGTGGTGTGAGTGAGGTGCAGTCACAAAAGAATCAACGTGACGCGTCTGAGTCAAGTGTGAAAGTGTGCAAGGCCTCAGCTGAGGAAGGACCTGTGGCGGGAGACGCACGAGCACCTAAAGCTGCAGCAGACTCACGAGCACGTAGTGCTGCAGCAGACTCACTAGCACCTAGTGCGGCAGCAGACTCACTAGCACCTGGTGCAGCAGCCTCGAGAGAACCAGTGACACATCGCTGAGGAAACAGCTCACTAAGCACCTGAGGGGAGAAGGTCTCCTGCTGACTCTACTGCCGACTCTGTGCAGTACGTAGAAAACCAAAGCCTCCCCCACCTTGACGGGCTCGCTGAAGAACCCACTCGCGAAGCTGCTGAGGGGTGGGGTCGTCTGGTAGAGGCAGTGACCGCCGCTGTCCACCCCTAGCCGCTGCAATTGCTGTGATAGTGGCCATGACAGGCAGTGACGGTCAGTAGGAGGTCCAGCACCTCCGGCACCAGCAGCAGCAGTAACACGAGCAGCAGCAGCAGCAGCAGGGCGGCGCAAGCAGGGCAGCGCAAGCAGGGCAGCAAAAGGGCGGCGAGCGGGCTGCCAGAGGGCGGCGCGCGGGCTGCAGGGGCGGCGAGCGGGCTGCATGGCAGGGCAGCGCGCGGGCTGCAGGGCTGCGCAGGCCAGGCAGCACGCGGGCTGCAGGGCGTGCGGGCAGCAGGGCAGGGTAGGGCAGTGCAGCGCGCAGGCTGCAGGGCAGGGCAGGAAAAACGGCCTGCCTAGGGGCGCGATTCGGGCAGGAAAAACGGCCTGCCTAGGGGCGCGATTCGGGCAGGAAAAACGGCCAGCCTATGGGCGCGATTCGGGGAGGAAAAACGGCCTGCCTAGGGGCGCGATTCGGGCAGGAAGAACGGCCTGCCTAGGGGCGCGATTCGGGCAGGAAAAACGGCCAGCCTAGGGGCACGATTCGGGGAGGAAAAACGGCCTGCCTAGGGGCGCGATTCGGGCAGGAAAAACGGCCTGCCTAGGGGCGCGATTCGGGCAGGAAAAACGGCCAGCCTAGGGGCACGATTAGGGAAGGAAAAACGGCCTGCCTAGGGGCGCGATCCAGGCAGGAAAAACGGCCTGCCTAGGGGCGCGATTCGGGCAGGAAAAACGGCCAGCCTAGGAGCGCGATTAGGGGAGGAAAAACGGCCTGCCTAGGGGCGCGATCCAGGCAGGAAAAACGGCCAGCCTAGGGGCGCGATTCGGGGAGGAAAAACGGCCTGCCTAGGGGCGCGATTCGGGCAGGAAAAACGGCCTGCCTAGGGGCGCGATTCGGGCAGGAAAAACGGCCAGCCTAGGGGCGCGATTCGGGGAGGAAAAACGGCCTGCCTAGGGGCGCGATTCGGGGAGGAAAAGCGGCTTGCCTAGGGGCGCGATTCGGGCAGGAAAAACGGCCTGCCTAGGGGCGCGATTCGGGCAGAAAAAACGGCCAGCCTAGGGGCGCGATTCGGGCGGGAAAAAAGGCCTGCCTAGGGACGCAATTTGAGCAGGAAAATGGGCAGAACGGAACTAACGGTGGGCCCTAAACGAGTGGTCCTACAGATGGACCTGCTCTGAAACCATGTCGAGAGAACTGTGCATTAATGATTGGATTAACAAGAGTTGGGGTACAAGTACTAACCCTAGAAGTGCTGTACCCCATAGGGAGTGCCCCACTATAGCCTACAAATAAGATTGTACTTTGACACCAAGAACCTCTCTTTATTCGCCGCCCCCTCTCCTCGCAAATCCTAGACCGCATATGAGAGTCCTTCTTCAACTCCTCCAAAAACCGTTCCTCATGTCTCCATCAGATCGTCATCCTCATCCTCCACCTCCCCTTCCTCCGCCTCCTCTCCTGCAATCCTCAAATCCGACAACAACTCTTCCAGCGGAATCTCCGGAACCTCCTCCCCATCCTCCTCCTCCTCCTCCTCCTCCCCAGCATCCACCATCTCATCCCCTCCTCTCGCTCCTCCTCCTGCCGCCGGCGCCACATAAGCCGGGTCCCTGTAAACAGCAATCCGCGACCGCATATCCGCATCCTCCTCCAACTCCTCCAAAAACCTCTCTTTATCCGCCGCATCCCTCTCCTCGTCGATCCGTCCCTTCGCGCCACCACCTCCTCCTCCTCCTCGTTCTCCTCTCTCTGCTGCTCCCCCGGCGCCCCCGTCTACTTCCATGTCAAGCTGCTTCAGCTTCCACGCCCGCGGCTTGCCACGCCTCTTCTTGCGCTTCTCCTCGTAGCTCTTGCGCACGAGAATGACGTCGGGAAGGGTGGCTCTGTTGCTGTACCTGCAGAGACAGGAGGAGGGGAAGGCGGAGGGGAGGGAGGAGGGGAGGGAGGAGAGGGGAGGGAGGGGGTGGGGGGGGTGGTGGTGGTAAGTTCACAGGGTCACATCGCCTCCTCCCCCGGCGCCCCCATCCACTTCCATGTCAAGCTGCTTCAGCTTCCAGGCTCGTGGCTTGCCGCGCCGCTTCTTGCGCTTCTCCTCGTAGCTCTTGCGCATGAGAATGACGTCGGGAAGGGTGGCTCTGTTGCTGTACCTGCAGAGACAGGAGGGGTGGTGGTAAGTTCACAGTGTCATCTCGCCTCCTCCCCCGGCGACACCCGCACGTCTGCCAGGCTGCCAGCAGCAGAACTACCACCGACCAGCAGTGTCTCACCTGGCGAGGTCGTCGATGTTGAGGTTCGCCCCGTGCAACTCGTATCTCATGGTATAGTCCCCCGGCCTCAGCAGGTGCCCCAGGTGCGTGCGTGCAGTGATCACATCGTTCCTCCCATCAATGCAGGAGCACAGTGCACACCAGCACCACCACCAGAAGCAAGCAGCTCACCTGGCCAAATCATCACTGTTGAGGTTGGCCCCGTGCAGGTCATATCCCATGGCATAATCCCCTGGGCGCAGCAAATGCCCCAGGTGCGTCCTCGCTGTGAACATCACATCGTTCTTCCCAACATCCTAAGCACCAGCAGCACCAGCAGGAGGAGGAGGAAAGCTCACCTGGCCAGGTCATCACTGTTGAGGTTGGCCCCGTGTAAATCATACCCCATGGCATAATCTCCTGGGCGCAGCAGGTGCCCCAGGTGCGTGCGTGCAGTGAACATCACATCGTTCTTCCCAAAGTCCGCCACCCGCGCCACCTGCACATCTGCCAGCATAAATTTCCCCAACGCCCCTCCCCCCGCCTTGTGCGGCGCTCCCCCCACTCCTCCTCCCCCTGCTCCCCCTCCGCCTCCACCCCCCCATCCCCCCCCGCCGCCCACGGTCTCAACATCTAGAACCACATATTCCACAAGCTGTCGCGAGGAGAGCAGGGGCTTAAAGCCATAGCGCCAGTACTGGTTCGAGTCGATGTAGATGGCGTGCAGGGTGGAGGGGTCGAGCAGCTGCAGCGAGTTGGAGACGCGGATGCAGAGGACTAGAGGGTTGGCTGCCATGCCACACGCGTTGGCGGCCTTTGGAGGGAGGCAGATCAAATCCTCTTTGCACACGGGACAGATTTCCACAGAGAAAGTGTACCTGCAAGGCGAGTCGGGAGGAGGGGAAGTGGGGAGAAGGCGCGATGAGAGCAGGGGCTTAAAGCCATAGCGCCAGTACTGGGAGGAGTTGAGGCAGGTGGCGTGCAGGGTGGAGGGGTCGAGCAGTTGCAGCGAGTTGGAGACGCGGATGCAGAGGACTAGAGGGTTGGTTGGCTGCCGTGCCACACGCATTCGGGGCCTTTGGAAGGAGGCAGATCGGGTCTTCCCTGCACACTGGGGCAATTTTCCACCGAGAAAGTGTATCTGAGGCCAAAGGGAGGAGGGAGGGGCGCAAGTGGGAAAGAGCGAGGGCAAGAAAGTCAATTCTTTGGTGGTAGTACTGCGAGGAGTATTTTGAAAGTAGTACTGCAATGAGTATTTTGAGGGTAGTACTGCGAGGATACACCTCAAGATACACCTCAGTGGTAGTACTGCGAGGAGTCAAGCTAGGTGGCGTGCAGGGTGGATGGATCGAGGAGTTGGAGGGAGTTGGAGACGCGAATGCAGAGCACCAGGGGGTTTGCGGCCATGCCACGCGCGTTGGTGGCTTTAGGGGGGAGACAGATGCGATCTTCTTTACAAAACAGGACAAATCTCCACCGAGAAAGTGTACCTGCGGGGGGGAGGAAAGAGGGGAGAAGGGAGGGAGGTACACATGTGAGGAAGGCAGAACTGGCGCTTTTTGTACTCGCTAAAAGGCTCCACTGTACTGGTTTCGAACAATCGCTTCTAATTATACTCACTGTAAGCGTTCTCACCGCTCACTTGTAATTGTACTCACTAAAAAACCTCAGCACTCACTTTGAAGTTGCACTCACTATAAAGCTTCTTTTCACTCACTCGTAATTGTACCAAGCCGTGTGGATGCCGAGTGTTAACAGCTGCTCACATCTACTCATACCCGTTATAAGCCTTCAGCAGTACTCACTTGTAATTATAAGAGGCCGTGTGGATGTCATGAGACACCAACTGCTTGTGGCTGCGGTGCTGAGCTGAGCTGCGTGCACTAGGCATAACACCCACGTGTACTCGTTATAGCGCACTCACTTGTAGTTGTACGAGGCTGTGTGGATGTCATGAGACACCAGCTGCTTGTCGCTGCGGTGCTGAGCTGGCACCACGGCCGATACAAAGTCAACAAACTTCTGTGCGTGTGAGCGGTTGGCGTAATAGAAATCAATGCCGTCGTGCACCTGGGAGGGGAGGGGAAGGAGAAGCACACATAGTAGGAGTTTTGGAAAAAAAAACAATGGAAGTGTGAGTGTTACGATTCGTCCCCCCTCCACGTTCATCCGCCCTTCTCCTAAATCCTCGCCGGTGCTGAGCTGGCAGCTGAGCTGGCAGGCACCACCATTGACGATTAGAACATTGACTTCCGATTGTCCCTATCCCTTCTCCTAAATTCCAAACTGTTAATGATGTTGACGGTTTTGAGACATCTCAAATTTTAGTTTTGAGACGTCTCAAAACCGATTGCCCCTAACCCCTCTCCTAAAGCTTCACCTGTTAATGGTGTTGGCAAAGTCAGAAAGCCCACCTGGCGGGTGTTGATGGTGTTGGCGTCGGCACCATGCTTCAATATAAGCTGCTCCAGGAAGAGAAACGTGCGCTTGTGCTCCAACGTCTCCCTTGTGCTTTTTGCCAAATACCCTTGTCTTTTTAACCCCCCCCCACAAGCCACCTCACTGCAAGCCCCCACCTGGCGGATGTTAATGGTGTTGGCGTCAGCACCGTGCTTCAATATAAGCTGCTCCAGGAAGAGAAACGTGCGCTTGTGCTCCGCCTTCTGCCGCAGCTGCACCACCGCCACCCACTGGTCGGGGTTGGCTGCCGACCGCGTGCACGCGTCGCACATGTGATCCTCCACCACGTATTCTGTAACGAACGTCTGCTGCAGCACGGCTCCACTGAGGACCTCCTTCTGTATCGTCACCTGGAAATCACAGGGGTGTGTGGCAGAGGGTTCTAGGTCTAAGGTTGTAGGCACATCAGGGTCAGGGTTGGCAGCCGACCGTGTGCACGCATCACACATATGATCCTCCACCACGTATTCTGTCCCAAAGGTTTGCTGCAGCACGGCCCCCGATAGCACCTCCTTCTGTATCGTCACCTGGGAGCAATATGGGTAGGAACAAAGGGTTTGAAGCCAGGGTTGGCTGATTCGGGTTGGCAGCTGACCACGTGCACGCGTCACACATGTGATCCTCCACCACGTATTCTGTCACGAACGTCTGCTGCAGCACCGCACCGGATAGCACCTCCTTCTGTATTGTCACCTGTGAGCAATAGGGGGTGGGAATCAAGGGATATAGATTCAGGTTTGGCAGCTGACTGACCGCATGCACGAGGGTTGGGAGTGGCAGCTGACTGACCACCACATACTCCGTCACAAACGTCTGTTGAAGAACTGCGCAGGATAGCACCTCCTTCTGTATCGTCACCTGGACAGAGCAAAGGGCTCACATGATAGTAGAAATCAGGCTCAGTACAGTGTCACGAACGTCTGTTGCAGCACAGCGCCAGATAGCACCTCCTTCTGGCAGAAGAAGACGGAAAATAATCAAAACCCTTGATTTCGCTTGGAGTATGGCTCGGCCCAGATGAACGAGCCAGCTTCTAATGCGCTGCAAAAGTAACAGTGGAGATTAGAGATTCAACAGGCGAAAGTCACACCTTGATTTTGATTCGCTTGGAGTGCGGCTCAGTCCAGATGAAGGACGCGTCCACCAGCTTCACCTTGTTGAGATTCTTCATGCGCTGTTGCAGTGACACACACGGCAACAGGGTAGCATGGTAACACATGCACATGCGTGCAGTGGGAGGGAGGGAGCAGGAAAACACTGGGGTTTGCAAGGGCAGACACGTCCACCAGTTTCGCCTTGCGAACATACTTGATGCACTGTTACAATGATAGCGTCAGTAAAACCGTGGTTCGTTCAAAGGAGGTAATGGACAAATTGGCAACGCAGGGTTTTAACAGGGTTTCGGCAGGTAAACACGTTCAGAATACTCGATTGGCCCTGCGTACCGCCTGCGCGCGCGGCAGGCGATGTGAGTACACGGTTGAGCGACAACGCGCCTAATAAGAATCAGGGTTTGACATTGGGGTTTAAAACGAGAACAAGAAGAACGAGCACCAACAAAAGCGCAACGGCTGAGAGCAGGAGTGCGGGCTGCTCGCTTGCATGAACAACTCTCACGTTGGCAAACCCATTGACGACCAACGCGGATGCACATCCATGTGCGGGGAGAGACCAACGAATACATCCACATCCATACAAAAAGCGAATTCACGAGCGCAACCTCGAAACGGCGCGCCACGAGAAATTGGAGCCTCTTGTGGAACGGCAGGACGCAGAATTACCGGTGGGTATCCTTAGAAAGTAAGTAAGGCACACACCTTAAGGCAGAACGTGAGGAGTTCCTTCGACTCGAGCTCCGCGCGGATCCACGCGCGCGGCGGCGCGAGAAACCTTCCGCACGGCGGCGGGCAGCGCAGCACCGACAGGCGGCGCGGGAGGCCCTCGGTAATGTCGACGTGCGTGCGGATGCAGCCGGGGCACATGCCGGTCGGGTTGGGCGGCATGGCCGTGCCGCACAGGCAGCACAGCACGGTGGACGGCGTCTGCTGGACGGTAAACATGCCGGCCGGCGCGGAAACGTCCGGCTCCATTGACGCCATCGGAACCGCGCTACGGACACGCCGAATCTAGGATATTCTACTGCTATCAATTGCGCGTTGTGGTAAGAACAAGTGAGGAGTTAGGAGACAGAAAAACACAGCCGTTTGGTGTTCGGGACTACAGACTAGAGTTTAGAAACTAAGAATTTCTGCTTCTAGTCTCCCTAGTCTCGACTGTCAGGTCTCCAGCTCCTACTAACGGAAAGTAGTGTCGGTGGGCATGGATGAGGCAAACGAAAAACCCTAGTGTGTTGCGTGCTGGAATTCTGTGTTTGGGTACACTCTCGCCATACGACGCTTCATTCGCTTTAAAATGCAGCTACAGCTCTTGCAGCCAAAACAATGATTCGTTTATGAGTTCGAGTTCCGATCAATAAACTTTTTGGCACTACTTGCTAATGTACAATGCTCCTCTATCCGTGCGATTGTAGCCAGCTGCAGTGCTTGATTGCAAGCTGCATTCAGAACAACTCGTCAGCCATACATCCTAGGTCCGTACGAGTCGCGAGTGTTTCAATAACGGCCCCTCGTTATAGCGGCGTCTACAAAAATCATCGCCAGGCAAGCTGTCGCATGTTGCCCCCGGCGACTCGGCGATGCTGTTCTCCAGCTTGCGACATGGCGAGCCAGTCCTAATAAGTTTGCAGCAAAGATGTTGCCATGGGACTGATCGCATTGAGTCGCATCGGATCGCTCAAACAAGGACAACCGCGGTTTGGCAGTTTGCTTGACGTGGCAGGGATGTACGGCAGTTGCTAATTTGCTGAGGTGGGGCTGGAATTCAAAAGGCAAGGGAGTGCCGTGTGATCTCCACTGTCAATAAAAATAATCTAAAATTGTTGTAAAATTGTTGTAACCATCAGCTACAAGACACAGCAGCAGTCCGTAATTTGTACAGACTCAGTACATTGCAGAAAATCGCACGCGGCGCATGCATCCCGTTCCCAAGCAAGCAAACACGAATATCCCTCCCTCGGTGCACCCAACAAATCGCCCCATTTTCTCACCTCACCTCACCTTCCCCTCACTGCTCCTGCCAGTAACACGAGTTGAGCAGCACAACGTGAGTTGCGTGAAGCACGGAGAGCAGCGGAGTGAAAGAAATGTCTTCAACAGTTCTTCGTCCTTGTCCGCGGCCATTTCCATTTGTACTCTCGGCTCGCCCCATACTTTTGCTTAATCGCTCAACATCGTATCCTCAAGAGAGTCTCTCCCAGTCGTCCTGAAAGTTTTGTCTGGAAGATAGTCGTTCCATCGTCGTCACCATGTCGACTGATGATCCTCTTCCACCATTACCGCGTCTCCCGGACGACATTCTTCGCATGATCTTTGCTCGCATAGGATTGCACGGCGACACCTTCTCGCACGCGGTTACCTGTAAGCGATGGCTCGAGATCGCGCGTCCCGCTCAAACCGCAGTCTGCATTCGCGAAACCCGCGAAGCGTCCTCCCGACAGCTCGCGAACGCCATCGCGCAGTTTCGCAACCTTTCGCGCATCCATCTCCCCAACTGCAGCGTCGACAGAGTGGACGACGATCTCCTCGACCGAATCGCCGCGTCTTGCGGCGCGACTCTCACTTCCTTCCGCTTCGGTACGGTGCGTACTTCTTCAATGCAAAGCGGCGGCTCCAACGGCGGCCTCCGAAACCGCCGCCATGTGGACGACACCCACCACGCACCGCGCGAGCGTGTCGCGCAAGGACAAGGAGAACTCCAAGAACTGCTAGAAGCGGAAGAAGCGGCGGGAGAAGCGGGAGAAGAAACGCCCGCCGAATCGACGGCCGAAGCAGCTCTCTACTCTGAAATCACCGAAGCGGGGTTGGATAAACTTTTTCGGACCTGTCCGCAGTTAGAAGAGTTCGGTCTGCATTGCGCGCCGAACCTCTCCCTTCGACCAATGTCGTTTCTCGAGCTCGCGCGGATCAGCGGGGGGCCGTTGGATACCGACTCGGTTTACAAATGGAGCATCCCGAACGACGCTAGCGCGCCGCCGAGCCTCCAGTTTCCGAAGCTGCAGGCTCCGAGCCTGACCGCGCTGCCAAATAGCCTCGGCGTGCTGGCGAACCTGCGTGATCTTCAGATTGGCTGCAGCGCGTTACGATCGCTGCCCGAAACTCTCGGGCAGCTGTCACGGCTGACGCGGCTGCATGTGACTGACTGCGGGCTTGCGCAGCTTCCCGATTCTTTGTGCAACCTGCCCGCGCTCTCCTTACTCTCCATCACTTACTGCATGCGAATCAGCCGGCTGCCCGCGAATCTCGGGCAGCTCTCTTCTTTAAAGTCCCTGCAGCTGCACAGCGTGTTTAGTCTAGAGACGGTGCCGGAATCTCTCGGGCAGCTACCAAATCTCGAAGCGCTGCGTCTCCATGGATGCAAACGGCTAACTGAGTTACCTTCTTCGGTCTATCAGCTAACGCGGCTCGAGCTGCTGAGTATCAGAGACTGCCCGCGAATAGTCAGCCTCCCTGATGATATGGGTTTCCTTAGCCGGCTCGAGTCGCTGGAGATTAACACGTGCGAGTCGCTGATTGGCCTCCCGCCCTCGTTTATCCACCTCATCAGCCTCCAGTCTCTTGAGGTTTGCTTCTGCAAGAGTTTCGCTTCGATTCCCGCGGATTTTGGGCAGCTGCCGAGCCTCCACACGCTCAAGATCTCATCCATTTCCTGTCTAGCCCACCTGCCCGAATCCATGGGGCAGCTGTCTTCCCTGAAACACCTGGAGCTGTCCCATTGGCCGCTTCTTCGCGCTCTGCCGCTCGCTCTGTTCGCGCTGAAGTCACTCGAATGCCTGGCGGTCACCAGCTGCCGTCATCTCTCATCCCTTCCTGTGAGCATCACACAGCTGACGTCGCTGAAGCTGTTGAATCTGTCTGGTTCTGCCGCCCTTTCCGCACTGCCGGAGTTCCTCTGCCGGCTTAGCAGCCTGGAGCAGATCCTCTTGACTGATTGTTTTCGTTTGGTATGGCTGCCCGAGAATCTCGGGCAGCTGATGAATCTTCGGCTACTAGACCTGGAGGGATGCGACAGCTTGCAGGATTTGCCCGGCTCACTTTCGTCCCTAGGTGGACTACAGATAAGAGCTAGACCGATGTTACGAAGAATGATTTCAGCAAAAGCTGGTGTCGGGTTAATTTGTGATAAGTACAGTAAAGGAGGAGTCTCTGGGTTAGAAGATCAGGACAACCTAGAGATTTCGCAGGATACACAAGAGTCGCAGCAGAGGACAGGTGGAGATGCGTCATTGGTGGATAGGGGAGTGGGGTTGGAACCAGAATGTGAGAAGAGAGTGGGGGAGGAGGCGTGGAATGGTGAGGATGAGTGGGATGGTGACTGGGAGTGGTTGCAGGAGGAGAGGGCTCAGAGGGAGTGGCATCAGCGGTCACAGCGCTGGTGTGTTTTGGGCCTGTCACCCTTGAAAGTGGCAAAAAGAATGCTCCTTGTTCAGCCCGGAAAGCTGTGCAGAGTCCCTTTGTGCACAGGCCAGACAAGGCCTGCACAATAATATGGCAAGAAATCTTGTAATGTCCTGATGCGTTCATTTTGTCCATCTTTCAGCTAGTGTCAAAGGGACATACTTTGTGCACAAGAGTTGTGTTACGGTATGCGTGATTGGATTTGCTGCGGTACTATCTGTCGATCTCCTGAGCCATCTCAATCAGTAAATATGTATCTATTGGAATGATGATCAACTGCACCTTGCTTCATGCTACTACAAACTGGTTATGGACCATGGTGCAATGTGGTTCGGTATATATATTCCAACCTGTCAAAACAGACAAATTGCATGCTGGTTTGGCGAGTCTACACCCAGTCAACCTTGATAATATATAGAGATGAAGCTGTAACATTTCCTACCTATGTCGCTTCGTCAATGGCAACTCGGTTCGCAAATCCTCCGTGGAAGGCGCCATCTCAGACTTGGTGGATGGCGCGTCGATCCCCCACACAAGATCACGAATCACGTCCTCCGTTTGTGCCGGTAGCACGTCGCTGTGTCCAGCGTCCATTCAGAGAGTTTCTTGCCAAAACGAAGCAGGTGAGTAGGCTTGGTTTACCGGACGAGCAGGGGCTAAGTAACCAATAGCGACGCGTGGTAGGTGGGAAGCAATCACACCAAGTTGATGGGCTATCCATGGCAAAAACGCTCACACAGAACAGCCGTGTGCACGTCAACAGTGTGCCCGAGAAATACATTTCCGGCACCGAGCCGGTATCACACCAAGCACGGGACGGCTCCTGGTGCCAAGTGTACGGCAAAATAACGGTTGTTCCGACAAAATGTTCACTGCACTTCACTCAATCTGCCCGAACTGTTTTTCAACCAGCTGCATTCCTTGAACTTGGCTCTTCGGGATTTCAGCCAGGTCGTCAAATCATCTTCGCCCTTGATTTGTAATGCCCCAACAGAGCTACTCTGTTTTGACGGTGTCGATAGGCGCATTCGCCCTCCCTCCCATTAGCGCTTCGATAAATGAGCGGCGCGTTGGTGCTGGTTCTCGGATATTCGAGGGCAGATGTTCATCCTATGACCTGTCCCTTCCTATTCCCTAGAAACTCAAGGGAGCCTGCCCCAGGGATTGCATCTCGGAGAAAAAAATCTGACTGGCCATGCGAGGAGGGAGGGAGCACTGGTGTTCCAATCCGACGCAGAACACATGGACCAACCGTCTCGAGATTGATCGTTATCAGCTCCGTTCCATTAGTTGTAGTACGAATTCGCTCTAGTATTCTACGATCACTTGCCTTCCCTGCCAGTTCTCCGTTTAGAAGTGCATGAGGTATTAAAGAAACTCGCTGTTCTTGAACTTTGCTAAGGGAGAAGATTATTCTGTTAGCTTCATGTCAAGCTTGAGACTAGGGTCTTGAGAATATTGTCAGACTGAACAACTGTGTTTCTTTAATCTCGAGGCGCTATTCTGTCCCTGTTGTTCATAACAGGTGCATGTGGTAGGAGTCATGGGTAGGTTGAACGGGCACGGATACCATTCAATTGGTCTAGAAACTCGCACTTCGATTGCGGACTCTGTGCCGCACGCATCTCAGCTCAGTTCGCGAACGTCGCATGCACTCCCCGTACAGTCGCCAACGTCGTCAGCGTCACCCCTGTCGCGCGTCTCTCATGTATTTTCGCACATGTTGACGGCTCTCGGGATTAAACCGGGAGGGTCTACAAACGAGGAGAGGAGCCATCGATTGGGGTATTCCATGGACTGGTTTCACTACGTGCTCGTTTCCGTCAATCTGTGCCTCCTCGTACTCGTTCTAGCCGAATCGCTACCGTCATGGGTCACCAGTTCCGATGCGGGAGCCGAATTGGCAGCAGCAGGGGGAGCGAGCGGAAGGCTACGCGGCGAATGGAGCCCTTTATTTCCCATGCAGCTGCGAAAGTCGCTGCTTGTCGCCCACTCTTCAGACGAAACTGGAGATACCACCGTGAGCCCATTCAAGTACGTGCTTGGCAGCCACGCGTGTAAGACCTGAACCAGCCTTCAGTGTGGGTTTTTTTTTTCGGATCGTCCGTTTTACTCATGTGATTTGGCTGCTCGTGGTGCCTTGTCAAGCCGATTGAAGACGATAGTCCATGAGTCTCTGCTCTCCGTACTCTTTCTTGTTCACTCATCCGCATGCTCCCCTCCCTTGCCCCCGATTTCCGTCCCACACGCGCAACCTCCCCGCCAACCGCCCTTCAACCTCCCCGCAGTGACCCCGTGCTCCAAAGCAGTGCACCCGCAACGATTCACGCTACCGCCACTGGCGTTGCTTCCGGCATCTTCGATGGCAGCGTGGCGCCGCTGAGGCGACGAGTATGCTGGACGTCTTCAGGAGGTGAGATTCCAAATAGCATGGAAAATATGAGCTGCGTATTTTTAGGCGCCTCGAATAAAGGTAAGGTCAAATAGCATGGGAAATATGAGTTGTGAGATGTCCAAAAAAAAAGGTTGTAAACGAACGACGACGAATATGCTGGACGTCATGTGCGCTCATCGCCTTCCGCCTTACGCGTATCGCATATGAGGTAGGTGTGCGGCCGACGTTCAGTGCAGCGACGCTAATTTCACTTTCTCGAAAAAAAATAGGCGCCCAGAACAATGCTCTCGTGCAACCCGCCTTCCCCCTCTCTTGCTTCTCATCTGCTTATTTTTTCGCAGACTATTCCTCAACTTCCCCCTCGGGAGTGGTGATCCACGGCTCAGGTTGCGCCACGTGTCTGCGCGGGCAGCGCTGCTCCTTCCGCGTGTCCGTGCGCGCGCCCGCGCGATGGGCGCACGTGCTGGAGGCGGACAAGGAGAGCTGGTGGAAGCGCGATTTAGCTCTCACTTTAAGAGGCATCGCGCTAGCTCATGGGGACATTAGGTGTCTAGACCCTCCGCATTGCACGGAATTCAGAGTGTCGTACCGCGTGTGGGACCTCGGCAATTACTGGTGAGCCTAGTCTCGAATCGCCTCAAAGTGAGGTAGTTGATCTACTCCTTACCGAACTGCTCAGCTGTTGTTTCCTCCGCACCACCTCCGATCCCTCACAACCCCTATGCCTCTCGTGTACATTCTCAACGTCCGTTTTGCACCCAACGCCTTCCTCCCTCGCGTGCGCCTCTCTCTCCTTGTCTCCCCCATGCTTCCCCCATGCTTCTGCACGTGAGTTGCGCCAACCTCAACTTCTCCTTTCCCTTCCCCATGCTGGCCCCATCCTCACACTCCCCCCCCCCCCCCCCCAACACACTCTCTCCCCCACCCCCCCTCCTCAGGGCGACGCTCCACGTGCTGTGCGCCAATCTCAACTTCTCCGCCTCCTTCACGCATCACTTCAACCGCACATACCAGGACAGCAACCTCCCTTGCTTCCCCCACTCCCCTTCCCTCCCCCCCACCCCGCAGGGCAACGCTGCACGTGGGGTGCGCCAACCTCAACTTCTCCGCCTCCTTCACGCACCACTTCAACCGCACGCACCAGCACAGCCTCGCCTCCTGGCCAATCACAATCACGCCACGTGGCAAGGCGCTGAACAGAACCAGCACCCTTGGCATTAGCAACGGCGTTGGCAGCAGCAGCAGCAGCACAAGAGACAGCAGCAGACGTATCATTACCACAGCCGCCGCTTATTCAGAAGCAGCAGGCGGGAACAGTGGGGGCAGAGGCGGGAGTGAGGGGAAGAGGCACGGGGCGCGGGAGGGGGCGGGGGAGGGGACGGGAGAGGGGGCGGGGGAAGGGGAGGGGGAGGAGGAGGAGGGGGTGCAGGATTGGCCGGACACTCCATGCAATGGCACGTCAGTACCAGGGCGATGGGTGGTGAAGGCAGATGGATCACTCAGGTATGTAGATGGGTGCAGCTGGGTGAAGACGGGTGTGTGTGCATTGGGGGGTGCAGGATTGGCCTTTGTGCAATGGGACGTCCGTGCCAGGTCGATGGGTGGTGAAAGCAGATGGGTCACTCAGGTATGTGTAAATGGGTGAGGATGGGTGCAGATGGGTGCAGATGGGTGCAGATGGGTGCAGATGGTTGCAGATGGGTGAAGCGTGTGTGTGTCGGGTGCAGGATTGGCTGGATACTCTATGCAATGGAACGTCACTCAGGTATGTGTGTGAAGGCAGATGGGTCACTCAAGTATGTGTAAATGGGTGAGGCTGGGTGCAGATGGGTGAGGATGGGTGCAGATGGGTGCGTGTATCAGGAGGGCTTTCTACCAGTAAACGGCCCCTGAGGCTCCCCATTCCAACTGAACAGAAGTTCTCAACGAGAGGGGCATTCGGGAGATCAGCATCGTGGGGGACACTCACCAGCACTTTCCCCCTCCCCCTCCCCATGTCCCTCCCCCTCCCCCGATCCCCCACTCCCCCAGGTGGGCTTTCTATCGCTGCGCGGCCCCTGAAATCCCCCCATCGGAGTGGATAGGCGCTCTACACGAGAGGGGCATTCGGGAGATCAGCATCGTGGGGGACAGCCACCAGCGGTTCCTAGCGGCGCACCTGCACTTCCTGCTCACGGCACAGGCGGACAAGGATGTGAAGCGGTGGCAGGACAACCTTGTGTTTGACGCGCGGGATAGCAGCAACCGCACGCTCAGAATCAACTTCTACTGGATCGATGGGATTTACAAGAATGGGGAGTTCGGCTGCACGTGAGTTTTTTTTAGGGGCAAGAATGGGCTTGATTGGGCTTTGAGCTGGCTTCGAATGGGTTTGAGTAGGTTCTAAATGGGTTTGAATGGGCTTGAACATTCAGAGGTAGTCCCCAGGTTAGCCCACCTGTACTTCCTGCTCACGGCACAGGCGGACAAGGATGTGAAGCGGTGGCAGGACAACCTGGTGTTTTTTGAGTCGACTCAAAAGTGACTTTTGACTTTTGAGTCGACTCAGAAGTCACCCGGGTGGATAAGGATGTGAAGCGGTGGCAGCGCAACCTGGTGTTCCACGCGCGTGACAGCAGCAACCGCACGCTCAGAATCAACTTCTCTTGTAAGCTCTCCATCAAAGCCCCTCCCTCCCCCCTTCACTCCCCCTCCTCCCCCGTCCCCCCCTCTCTTCTCTGCCCCCTACTCAATCCCATCCCTGATGATTCTTCCCCCCTGTCCCCACCAGCCACCGGGGAGTCACAACCAACCGATCAGAGGAATTCCCTGAGATCTCCACCACTGCTGACGTCACGCTCTTTGAAGGAGGCTACTGGGCAGCTTCCTTCTGCCGCCAGCCCCTCAAGGCACTCCGAGTGCACCTCGAGGAGTTTGCTCGGTGGGCGCTTGCCGCCGCGCCTGCAAAAGGGAGGGTTATTTTCCGAACTATCCCGTCTTTTCCGGTGGCGGGGGACCGGTGTAAGGCGTGGTATCCCGGGCCGAGTTCGAACCGGGTGGTTATGGCGATTAATGTGCTGCTGAAGCAGATAGTGCAGGGGAGAGGAGGGGCGGGAGAGGGGAGAGGAGTTGAGAGATTAGAAGCAGAGAGACTAGGAGGGATACAAGAGAGGGATGTTGGTGGGGAAGGAGGGAGAAGTGGAGGAGGGATAGAGAAGCTGGTGTATCTTGATTCGAGCTTGCAGGTGCTACCGCGGGACTCTGAGGAGGAAGGGGAAGGCATGGAGAGGGCAGGAGATGAGAGTAATGGAGCAACGGAGAGCAAAGGAGCAGCAGATATAGAAGAGGCGGACGAGATTGCTGCAGCTGGTGGTGCTGACGGTGGTGCTGGTGCTGGTGATGGTGTTAGTGGTGGTGGTAAGTCCTACTCAGAAAAGCGGCCACCACCACCATCACCACGAGCAGCCGCAGAAGCGCCATCATCTGAGCTGGCAGCATTGCCTGTAGGGGCAGCAACAGTGCTGGACACGTGGCAGGTGGATGCCCCTCGGTATGCCGACACAGCAGAGCCCCATGACCATCATTACTCGGTGGTGAAACCAACAAAGGAAGGCGCAGTGGTGGTGGGGGAAGTGGGGGAGGCTCAAGTACGCGCCTTCATTCATTACCTGCTGCGTGTCATCTAGCTGCTTGCTCTGCTCTGCTCGGTTCAATGGCTGTAGGGTGTGGTGCACTGCGGTGCACTGCGGTGCACTGCGGTGCAGTGCAGTGTGCACTCTGCCAGTCTGTTTCTCCTGTCTCCCCCTCTTATCGCCGTGACCAGCACTAGTCCTCGGTTGATATGGGGAGATGTATGCAGGAGCGAAGTGCACTGCTTGTGGAGGGTTGCTGCGCACACCTGCACGCCTCCACGCCTGCCACTCTGCCCGCTCTCCTCTTCGCCATTCTTCTCACCATGACCACCACCACTCCTCTCTTCGGTTGATATGAAGAAAATCATTCGGTTTCACTGGACAATCATGTGATGTCGTCTGGGCAAAATTTCCACTTCCATAAGGCTTTCAGCGAGCAGATTTGCTGAGACCACTGCATAGGTTAGGGTGCTACACTTGAGGGGCATTACATTGTGTGCTAGCTGCGGTGTTTAATGTTTTTGCATGTTGTAAATGCTAGTGTACTACGCAATCTCGGCCTTTATTCAGATTTGAGGCGGATGGCTAAATGTCCCTGGGTGTACCGAGGCCCGTCCACCTGGGCTTCCCCCACTTGCCCCTCCTGCTGTGAGCCGCACCCTGGAGTAACCGTGGTCGTTGGTTGAGGAGAGCAGCGCCTTTTGAGGCACCTCAAAACCTGTCCACCTGGGCTTCCCCCACTTGCCCCTCCTGCTGTAAACCGCACCGCACCGTGGAGTAACTGTAGTCGTTGGTTGAGGAGAGCAGCGCAGAGTAACGGTGGTCGCTGGGTTTGGACACCCACGTGAAATGAGTGGGTTTTTGAGAGGCGTCCACCTGCCCTTCCTCCCTCCCCCTCCTTCTGCTGTGAACCGCACCGCACTGTGGAGTAACGGTGGTCGTTGGTCAAGGAGAGCAGCGCAGAGCGCACACTTGAGCCTCCCCCACTTCCCCCACCACCACTGCGCCTGCTGCTGTAAACCGCACCGCACCGTGGAGTAACGGTGGTCGTTGGTTGAGGAGAGCAGCGCAGAGCAGGGCAGGCAAACAGCTATAGAGCGCTACCACTGAGTCGGGGCAGCACGTGCAGCAGGTAATGAATGAAGGCCCGCACTTGAGCCTCCCCCACGTCCCCCGTCACCACTGCACCTTCGTCTGTGAGCTCCACCACAGAGTAATGGTGGTCGTTGGGCAGTGCTGTGTCGGCATACCGAGGCCCGTCCACCTGGGCTGGGCTTCCCCCACTTGCCCCTCCTTCTGCTGTGAACCGCACCGCACCGTGGAGTAATGGTGGTCGTTGGTTGAGGAGAGCAGCGCAGAGCAGGGCAGGCAAACAGCTATGGAGCACTACCACTGAGTCGGGGCTGCACGTGCAGCAGGTAATGAATGAAGGCCCGCACTTGAGCCTCCCCCACGTCCCCCGTCACCACTGCACCTTCTTCTGTAAGCTCCACCACCGAGTAATGGTGGTCGTTGGGCACTGCTGTGTCGGCATACCGAGGCCCGTCCACCTGCCACGTGTCCAGCGCTGTTGCTGCCCCCGCGGGCAACACCGCCAGGTCAGCGGATTCGGCTGATGATGGTGATGGTGATTATGATTGTGATGGTGATGATGGTGGTGATGGTGGTGGTGATGGTGATGGTGATGCACTTTCCGCGTTTCCTCCCTCCTCCTCAGAGTCTAGGGGTAAAACCTGCAAGCTAGAATCAAGAAACACTAGCTTCTCAATCCCTCCTCCTTGCACTATCTGCTTCAGCAGCGCATTGATCGCCATAACCACCCTATTCGAGCCCGGCCCCAGATACCACGACTGACACCAGTCCCCCGCCACTGGAAACGACGAGATAGTTCGGAAAATAACCCGGCTTTTAGCGGGCGCGACGGCAAGCGCCCACCGCGCAAACTCCTCGAGGTGCACTCGGAGGGCCTTGAGGGGATGGCGGCAGAAGGAAGCTGCTCAGTAGCCTCCTTCAAAGAGCGTGACGTCAGCAGTGGTGGAGATGTTGGGGAAGCTCTCCAGTCGGTTGGTGGTGCCGCCCCGATGGCTGGCGGGGAGGGGGAGGAAGAGGGGTAGGAGGTTGGGGGGGTGGAATGCGGTGGAGGGGAGGAGAGAGAGGGGTTGGGGGTGCGGGAGGGGGAGCTGAGGCCAATCTATGGTGAGGCCAATCTGTGGTGAGGCCGATCTGTGGTGAGGCCGATCTGTGGTGAGGCCGATCTGTGGTGAGGCCGATCTGTGGTGAGGCCGATCTGTGGTGAGGCCGATCTGTGGTGAGGCCGATCTGTGGTGAGGCCGATCTGTGGTGAGGCCGATCTGTGGTGAGGCCGATCTGTGGTGAGGCCGATCTGTGGTGAGGCCGATCTGTGGTGAGGCCGATCTGTGGTGAGGCCGATCTGTGGTGAGGCCGATCTGTGGTGAGGCCGATCTGTGGTGAGGCCGATCTGTGGTGAGGCCGATCTGTGGTGAGGCCGATCTGTGGTGAGGCCGATCTGTGGTGAGGCCGATCTGTGGTGAGGCCGATCTGTGGTGAGGCCGATCTGTGGTGAGGCCGATCTGTGGTGAGGCCGATCTGTGGTGAGGCCGATCTGTGGTGAGGCCGATCTGTGGTGAGGCCGATCTGTGGTGAGGCCGATCTGTGGTGAGGCCGATCTGTGGTGAGGCCGATCTGTGGTGAGGCCGATCTGTGGTGAGGCCGATCTGTGGTGAGGCCGATCTGTGGTGAGGCCGATCTGTGGTGAGGCCGATCTGTGGTGAGGCCGATCTGTGGTGAGGCCGATCTGTGGTGAGGCCGATCTGTGGTGAGGCCGATCTGTGGTGAGGCCGATCTGTGGTGAGGCCGATCTGTGGTGAGGCCGATCTGTGGTGAGGCCGATCTGTGGTGAGGCCGATCTGTGGTGAGGCCGATCTGTGGTGAGGCCGATCTGTGGTGAGGCCGATCTGTGGTGAGGCCGATCTGTGGTGAGGCCGATCTGTGGTGAGGCCGATCTGTGGTGAGGCCGATCTGTGGTGAGGCCGATCTGTTGTGAGGCCGATCTGTGGTGAGGCCGATCTGTGGTGAGGCCGATCTGTGGTGAGGCCGATCTGTGGTGAGGCCGATCTGTGGTGAGGCCGATCTGTGGTGAGGCCGATCTGTGGTGAGGCCTATCTGTGGTGAGGCCGATCTGTGGTGGGGCCGATCTGTGGTGAGGCCGATCTGTGGTGAGGCCGATCTGTGGTGAGGCCGATCTGTGGTGAGGCCGATCTGTGGTGAGGCCGATCTGTGGTGAGGCCGATCTGTGGTGAGGCCGATCTGTGGTGAGGCCGATCTGTGGTGAGGCCGATCTGTGGTGAGGCCGATCTGTGGTGAGGCCGATCTGTGGTGAGGCCGATCTGTGGTGAGGCCGATCTGTGGTGAGGCCGATCTGTGGTGAGGCCGATCTGTGGTGAGGCCGATCTGTGGTGAGGCCGATCTGTGGTGAGGCCGATCTGTGGTGAGGCCGATCTGTGGTGAGGCCGATCTGTGGTGAGGCCGATCTGTGGTGAGGCCGATCTGTGGTGAGGCCGATCTGTGGTGAGGCCGATCTGTGGTGAGGCCGATCTGTGGTGAGGCCGATCTGTGGTGGGGCCGATCTGTGGTGAGGCCGATCTGTGGTGAGGCCGATCTGTGGTGAGGCCGATCTGTGGTGAGGCCGATCTGTGGTGAGGCCGATCTGTGGTGAGGCCGATCTGTGGTGAGGCCGATCTGTGGTGAGGCCGATCTGTGGTAATGCCTAGATTCGTGGGGGAGAAGGGGGTAGGGGTGTGGAAAGGAAAGGGGGAGGTGGGGACTATGGCATGTGGGGAATGGAAGCTTTTTGTAGGAGCCCATCAAAACCTATTCAACCTATTCAAACCTATTCAAACCTATTCAAACCTATTCAAACCTATTCCTGCCCTTAAATTACAACTCACATGCAGCTGATGATTCGCCACTTGTACAGATCCCATCAATCCAGTAGAAGGTCTGTCTCAGCGTGCTGTTGCTGCCATGCTATCACTCGCATGGAACACCAACTTCTCCAGCCACTGCTTCACATTCCTGTCCACGAGGTGACTTTTGATTCGACTCAAAAGTCAGATCCCATCAATCCACTAGAAGGTCTGTCTTAGTGTGCGGTAGGTGCTATCACTCGCATGGAACACCAGCTTATCCTGCCACCGCTTCACATTCCTGTCCGCCTTTTGAGACGTCTCAGAAACGGTCTCAGCGCGCGGCTGCTGCTGCCATCACTCGCATAGAACGTACGTGTAAAGACTTTCAATCTTTGAGCCACCAGCTTATGAGTCGACTCAAAAGCTCACTCGCATGGAACATACGTGTAAAGACTTTCAATCTTTGAGCCACCAGCTTATGAGTCGACTCAAAAGCTCACTCGCATGGAACATACGTGTAAATACTTCCAATCTTTGAGCCACCAGCTGATCCTGCCACTGCTTCACATTGCGGTCTGCCTGTGCCGTGAGCAGCAAGTGCAGGTGCGCCCACCTGGGGACTTTACCTCTGAATGTTCAAAGCCCATTCAAAACCCGTTCAAACCCGTTCAAACCCGTTCAAACCCATTCAAAGCCCGTTCAAGAACTCACGTGCAGCCAAATTCGTCGTTCTTATAGATCCCGTCAATCCAGTAGAAGTTAATCCTCAGCGTGCGGTTGCTGCCATCAATTGCATCAAACACCAGGTTGTCCTGCCTATGGATCACTTTGCCGTCTGTCTGTGCGGTGAGCAGGAAGGCCAGGTGTGCCGCCAGAAACCGCTGGTGGCTGTCCCCCACAATGCTGATCTCGTGAATGCCCCTCTCGTGCAATGTGCCTATCCACTATGATGGGGGGATTTCGCGGGGGGTGCATGGGTAGAAGGCCCAACTGGGGGAGTGGGGGATGGGGGAGGGGCACAGGGAGGGGGGAAGGGGAAGGGGGCGGGGGAAGGGGAGGGTGAAGGGGAAGGGTGCTATCCACTAGGATGGGGGAATCTCACGGGCCGTGCACTGGTATCCGGCCAATCCTGCATTCCACACCCACCCATACGACCACACACAGCCCGTCTACACCCACACACAACCCATCTACACCCACACACAGCCCATCTACACCCACACACAGCCCATCTACACCCACACACAGCCCATCTAATACACCCAAATGCACCCATCTACACCCAAATGCACCCATCTACACCCGTCCACACCCATCCACACCCATCTACACGCACATACCTGAGGGACCCATCTGCCTTCACCACCCATCGCCCCGGCACTGACGTTCCTGAGCATGGGTAACCCGGCCAATCCTCCTCCTACTCCTCCTCCTGCTCTTCCTCCTCCGCCTCCCAATCCCCTTCGCCCGCCCCCTCCACTCCCCCCTCCCCCTGCCTCTCGCCTGCTGCTTCTGAATGAGTGGCAGCTGTGGTCGTGCTGCTGCAGTCACCTGTGCTGCCGCTGCCGCTGCCACCGCCGCTGCCACTGCCACCGCCACCACCGCTGCTGCTCCTGGTGGTGTTGCGAACACTGCTGCCAACGCTGCTACTGCTGCTGCTGATGCCATTCCTGGTTATGCCCAGCGCTTCGCCACGTGGCGTGGTTGTGATTGGCCAGGAGGCAAGGCTGTGCTGCTGCATGCGGTTGAAGTGGTCAGCGAAGGTTTTGGAGAAATTGAGATTGGCGCACCCCACGTGCAGCGTCGCCCTGGAAAGGGGGGAAGAGGAGGAGGGGGAAGGGGAGTGGGCGCCAGAGATTAGCATAGTGAATAGTGATTGGGCACAAAGCGAGAGTTGTAGCATGCCAAAAGACGAAACCAGAATCGTCGCAAGCATCAGTATGGATCGTGAACCAATCAAAGCCCCCCCACTCAAACTGCATGCCAACTGAAACCCTAAACTGGAGACTTTCGAGGGTTCCATTCCGTTCCATTTTAGGGGTTCCGTTCCGAGGCGCCCGTGCCAAAAGCGACCTTTTGTTGGAGCTCCCTTGAAACTCGCGAGTCTCGTGTCTCGACAAGGAAACTTTTTTTTTTTTCAGTCTTCGAGTCTTTTGGTGATTCGAAACCTACCCCTAAATCCTACCCCACTTTGTTTCTAAACTGACAAATGGCAACTTTTTTCAGCGATCCAAAATGGGCGAAGGGGTTGAGCGGGATTCAACGGTTGTGCCAAGGTTTGGCAGGCCAAGGTATGGGCGTGGTGCGAAGGAGCCAACCGAAAAGCACTTTGGTAAGGATTAGTGTGGAGATTAGGTACAGTTTGAGGCG